CTTCCACTTATGACTGTATGACTGTTGCTGGTATCCTTAAGATTTATATTGACTGTTTCCCTATGACTATCATTAAGTGTTGCACTTTATGATTCTTGATGAACGTATCTTTTCTTTTATGTACTCTGAGAGCCTATGCACCAAGACAAATTCCTTGTGTGACCAATCACACTTGGCCAGTAAAGAATTCTATTCTAAATAAGCCAAAGTTGACAAGGACCTAATAAAGGAGAATAGTTGTAGCACAGGGTTGACATGAGGGTGTCCTTGATGCTCTCTGAGCTTGCTTGTTTTCTTGCAGACTTTTCATTATCCAGACTAGGTAACATCATCAGTGCTAGTCCATTAACATTACCTAGTTTGGATAATGAAATGTCTACAAGAAAACAAACAAGCTCAGAGAACACCAAGGATCCGTCAACTAGGACCGTTCCTAGCGCTGGGCAGATAGGCTTAAAAGGTTCTTGTCAGAAGCCTTGCGACTTCCACCATGAGACAAATGGGATGCCTTTCTAACATCAAGAGATATTTTGGGTGCCCCATGGCCTCACATACTGTATGCCTGGGAGAGAGAGAAAAGTTCAGACTTGATGCTGCTCTGTGATATATAAACCAGAGGTGGTATTCAGCCGGTTTGGACCAATTCGGGTGAACCAGTAGCGGCGACTGCAAGTGGGCTAGCGGCGACTGCCCAGATGTAATGCTATCCTATTTAGCCACATTTTCAAGGCTGGGCGCATGCACGAAAGGTACGCAAGCAAGGAAAGCACATGTCCGGAAGGCCGGGCGCATGTGCTGAAGGCGCGTGCGCACACAAAGCGAGCGTGCGCGGGGTGGATCGGTGGTAAGAATATGTGAAACCCATCGCTGATACAAACCCAAAATATCCATCGATCCTCACAATTCTTATCCCCTCTTTTGCTCCAAGGTTTGGAGCAAACAGCCTTCCATGCCTGTAACAAGTCACCAAGGGAAAAATCCCACCTCCCTAAAACCATCTCCTTGCTTCCTCCTCCAAGCACGAAATAAACAGGAAGCTAATTTATGTGAGCTACGTAACACGAAATCTCAGTAAGGCATACAAGGGAGACAGATGCATCTTCCCCTTCCCCTAGAAGGAACGGGAGGGAAATTGAGTTTTATATATGGACCTCAAAAGAACAATAAAATGAAATTGCGGCACTTAAAAACCTAAGAAAAAGAACCCAAAATAAAAATGAACAATACAAACAAGATTGTTTAGCACTTTTTATCAGCCACAGGAGGTAACTTCTTATCTATACTTGACTAGCTTTCTGTAGAGCGCAAAAGAACCATGTCCACCTCATGCCTCTCCAGGACCATTGCTACAGAACTGTAGAAAGCTTTATTAAGATGCCCAGGAGAAGAAGATCAAGAGCTATTAAAGGTAAAGGTAAAGGTTTCCCCCGCACATACATGCTAGTCGTTCCCAACTCTAGGGGGCTCATCTCTGTTTCTAAGCTGAAGAGCCAGCGCTGTCTGATGACAATTCGGTGGTCATGTGGCTGGCATGACTAAATGCCAAATGCGCACGGAACGCTGTTACCTTCCCACCAAAGGTGGTCCCTATTTTTCTGCTTGCATTTTTTACATGCTTTCGAACTGCTAGGTTGGCAGAAGCTGGGGCAAGTAACGGGAGCTCACTCCGATATGTGGCGCTAGGGATTCAAACCGTCGAACTGCTGACCTTTCTGATCAACAAGCTCAGCATCTTAGCCACTGCGCCACCGCGCATTTCATGCTGCGTTGCCTTACTTCATTCCAGGAGCTTCTGGACAGAAAATCCCAGCTCTTCCTACCTTTTGGGGGGGTTGGGGGGGGGAGTGGGAAATACCAAAAGATTGCAACATTGTCATTCATTGTGCTTTCCTACAAGAGTAAGGTCACATGGTGACTTTTAGATAATTCCACAATTATGGAAATGCATGTGTGGCGTGCAAGGCATGTCTTTTAATATGAAACATGCCAAGGTTTTTTTGTTTGTTTTTTAATGCCGTCAGAAATTCTGATTTTTGTTTTCTTTTCTTACAGCCAACCAAGCAATCTTGAAGGATCTGGGCTTGAGGGAGACAAGTCTTCAGACTCCAAGTCAGCAATGCTGGGATAAGGAACTCAGCCTCTGGCTAAAAGGACTGGTCAAGGAATGTGCATCTCCGACACCCTCTTTCATGGAGCACAAAGGAGAGGAAGCATGAACGAATACTCCACATTTATACCCATCACAGTATTTTATTTCCTTTGGGAACAAGAAACACTAAACCAATTGCAGAAAGAGAGTGAACAGGGGCCCAAAAATGAAGACACTGCCCCCCCCCAAGAAGGTATAGGAGGAAAGAAAAACCGACAGCTAAATCTAGTTTACACCAAGATCCTTCCCTCTATCTCTTCCTAACTTTCTGTCCTTGGAAACTAGTATCTTTGCTTTCACCACATTCCTAGAATAATCCATGATCTGTTGTTCTTTCAACTTCTCACTGCTTGTCTGCAGAGGTTCTCAGTCATCCAGGTCATAGTTGTCCCAAAGGTGATGCTTTCTTTCAAAAAGCAGAAGGACTTTCTCGTTTTGCTCAAGGATGTTTTGCTTGTCATCCAAGAAACTTCTTCAGTTCTGATTGTATGGTGGAGAATGGAAGGATATATATTTTTTATATAAGTACTAATGATCCAATCCCCTCACATCCTGGATATAAACTGTTTCAACTCCTACCCTCAAAACAACGCTATAGAGCAACTGCACACCAGAACAACTAGACACAAGGACAGTTTTTCCCCGAATACCATCATTCTGCTAAACAAATAATTCCTTCAACACTGTCAAACTAGTTACTAAGTCTGCACTACTATTAATCTTCTCATCGTTCCCACCACCCATCTCCTTCCACTTATGACTGACTGTATGACTGTAATTTTGTTGCTTGTATCCTTACGATTTATATTGATATTGTTTCCTGATTGCTTATTTGTACCCTATGACTATCATTAAATGTTGTACTTTATGATTCTTGATGAACGTATCTTTTCTTTTATGTACACTGAGAGCCTATGCACCAAGACAAATTCCTTGTGTGTCCAATCACACTTGGCCAAGAATCTATTCTATTCTATTCTATTCTATTCTATTCTATTCTATTCTATTCTATTCTATGACTGCAAGGAATATAAATCAGAATCGAAGAGGCTTCTTGGAGAAGAAGCTATATGTCTTCAAGAAAAACAAGAAAATCCAGTTGCTTTTTGGAAAGAAAGTGTCTTTGGGACTTCTCACTCTTTGGTGTTTTGCCTCAGAAAATCCTTGCTGGGAACCCAATTCCCTCCTGCAATTTTGCATTCACGTTGGTTACTTTTCCTTTGATGTAAGGGAACATATCTATTTTATGTATTCAATTCATGCTTATATATATTACCTAATATGTTCTTGACAAATAAATGAAATAAAAATAATAATAAAAGAATGAGCTATTGGACAAGGTGCTGTCTTTAGAAATCACCATGAGGGGTGACAATAAGGAGAAAATGGCACAAAGTCATCTCTGAACAGTGAAGAAAATTTCCCAAAAGTGCTTTTCAAAAAGGCAACTGGACTTCCTTAGCTTTTTTGCCTTGAAGACGTTTGCTTCTCATCCAAGAAGCTTCTCCAGTTCTGAACTGAAGAAACTTCTTTGATAAGAAGCAAAACATCTTCAAGAAGAAAAAAAACCAACGAAGTCCAGTTGCCTTTTGAAAAAGCACCTTTGGGACAACCATGACCTGGATGATTGTGAATCTCCATGGTGAAGAAAACATTTTGAAGGGTTTGTCTGTTGAGGGCAAAGAAGGGATCAGGAAATCTGGATTCCGCTTCTGGCCACGAGATTTTTTTTTTGAATTTTTTTTTATTTTTAAACAAAACATAAAACATAAATCCATCACCCATTACAATTGCAAACAGTGTGTCGGTCGGTTACAAGTCTTTTTGTGCTTCGTCCCCATTTTCAAAATTTACTAATTATCTAATTTCTCATATTATCATTATCCTCATTTGTCATTTATTTAACTATGGCTTTATCGTTTCATAAAAATTATTTTCAAATGTTATAACATTCATTTCATATTTCATTTCCACTTTTTATGATCTAGCCATTGATAAAATAAATCCCATATCTTATAATACTGTTTGTCTTCTTGTTCCCTAATTTCAAATGTCAATTTACTCATTTCAGCACATTCCATGATTTTCTTAATAACTTTGTCTTGCATTGGTACTTTCTGGCCACGAGATTTCTTATACCACCACTGCAGGGTTGGTTCTGCAGTTACTTCATCTTTGTAATATCTCCAGAGATACAAGGTCAGAGGTCCAGGAAAGAGACTACTAGCTGCAACATTACTCAAAGAATGCCTCTTCCTCTGAATTATCTCCTCCTCCTCCTCCTCCTCCTCCTCCTCCTCCTTCTCCTCCTCGGTACCTTCACTTACACTATTGCAAAGATATATGTACTAGTAGGATTATTGCTAATTGTTAAAGGGAAAAACTACAACAATTCTCCCCACTTTTTCCTTTCTTCACCAACAAATACTAAGAAATTGTTGGAGGGGTTGAATCTCTACATGAAAGCAGGAAGTGGTGGGATTCAAGTAATTTAACAACCGGTTCTCTGCCCTAATAATTTCTTCCAACAACCAGTTTGCCAAACTGCTCAGAAAGTTAACAACCGGTTCTCCCAAAGTGGTGCGAACCGGCTGAATCCCACCACTGAAAGCAGGGCTCTGCCTTGTTCCTTTTCTTCTTTCAAAACAGTTTCTTGAACTACCTCTGCTTGCTGTCTCCCACAAGCTATTAGATGACCCTTTGCGAGCAAGAGTCGAGAGGACATCCACTCTACCAGATGACATTGAGGGTGAGAAGAAACCTCGTACCGCTTTTGTGGGTGCAAAATTAAGGGACTGAGCAAGCGGAAATATCTCAGCGGCATGGAGAAGAACGGAAGGCTGATACTCACCCCTTGTTCTGATTCCAGCGGCTCCGTTTTGACTCTGACTGCAGGCATCCCATCAAGCATTAACATTCTGTTCTCCGATGTGTTAATAGCCTTAAAGAGAAGAAGAAGAAGAAGAAAAGTAAGGATGAGCCCAGGAGGAAGAAAACAAGGGAGCATCCTGGTTTGCAAAGGACAAATGCAAGGATTTGTCTGTTGATCAGGTCTACCTGCAAGAACTTCGGTGCCAAGTATTTCCCAAGGTTTTGACATCAGTTCTGGGCCCAACTGATTTCAGAATGTTGCCCGTTTCAGTGAATGAGGTTCAGTTTATCCTCAACTCTCTCCTTTATTGGAACAAAATCAGGACTTACAAAAGTCCAAAACCTTGCATAAGTCCAAAACCTTGGACTTACAAAAAAAGCAGGAGTCTGTAAAGGTTGTAAACGTGGCAGTAGCTCTGTAGCTTTTCCTCAGTGGTGAAATCTATTTTTTTTTCCTTACCGGTTCTGTGGGCATGGCTTGGTGGTGGTGGTGGGGGTCATGTGACTGGGTGGGTGTGGCTATGTAGTCATGTGACTTGGGGGGTTGTCAAAAGACAGAAACTCACTTTAACAATGTCCTGCTAGAGCAGGGGGTTGGACTAGATGACCTCCAGGTCCCTTCCAGCCCTGGATTGCTGTGCTCCTTCAAGGTATCCTCTGAAGCTACGTATAGTGCCAGGTTAGTGGTCCTTTCTTCCTCTCCTTTTTCCCTCCTTTCTTCCTTCCCTCCTCCCTCTCTTTCTTCATTTCTTTCTTTCTTCCTTCCTTCCTTCCTTTCTTTTTCTTTCTTTCTTTCTTTTCTTTCTCTTTCTTTCTCCCCCCTCCCTCTTTCCTTTCTTTCTCTCTCTCTTTTTCTTTCTTTCTTTCTTTCTTTCTTTCTTTCTTTCTTTCTTTCTTTCTTTCTTCTTCCTTCCTTCCTTCCTTCCTTTTTTCTTTTTCTTTCTTTCTTTCTTTCTTTCTTTCTTTTTCTTTCTTTCTCTTTCTTTCTTTCTTTCTTTCTTTTTCTTTCTCTTTCTTTCTCCCCTCCCTCACTCCCTCTCTCTCTTTCCTTTCTTTCTCTCTCTCTCTCTTTCTCTCTCTTTCTTTCTTTCTTTCCATGCTGCACCCCCATTTTTGGCCTAGCAGGCCTCAGGGAAGACTCCTGGGAGCAAAAACGAATCCCCAATAGGTAGTAAAAAAAATGCTTTAAAAAGTAAAAACAAAAAGTTCCAAGGATCGCGCAGCACAGCTGATTGTTGGAACTTTTTTTAAAAAAAAAAACATTTTCTTACTAATCAAGGGTGGAAACTAATCAAGGAGAGAAGCAACCTAGAACTAAAGGAGAAATTTCCTGACAGTCAGAACAATTAATCAGTGGAACAACTTGCCTCCAGAAGTTGTGGGTCCTCCAACACTGGAAGTTTTTTAAAAAAAGCTTGGATAACCATTTATCTGAAATAATATAGAGTTTCCTGCCTAAGCAGGGGGTTGGACTAGAAGACTTCCAAGGTCCCATCCAACTTCCATTCTATTCCATCCCACCCCACCCCACTCTACAAATATTACAAATTACCCTGGGTGTAAAACTCCGTTTTTCCTGGTGCAGGATTTGGGCTGATGGATTGCAAAGTGGAACCGCATCCAAGCCCAGGGATAACCTGCAATCCCATCAATTTTTAAAAAGCTGCTGTTTCTGGGGAGAAGCTGGAAGCCCCTTAGAAGAAAGACTCACGAGGGAGGTGATGGTTCACTTTCCTTCCCCGAATTCCCCCTCTTCCCCTTCTGAGCCGTAGGAACAGGAGGACCTTCTAGCAACCAGGCGTGCTCAAAAGAATAAAGGGGGGGGGGGAATGGATGCTTGGGCCAGACCCTTTCCAGGAGGGTGTGGGCTAAGCAGACCTGCCTTTCATATCCTTGGGTGTCACCCACATCAGTGGTCTGGCCATCCGCCTAGGGTGGAGCACAAAGCACTGCCAGCCTGCCTCTCCTATCAGTTTCCTTCCCTCTTTCTGCCTGGCCTCTTTTTCCACCCAAGACCCCCCGAGAAGGCCAGCTACTGCAAGGCTGCAACCCGCCAATGGGGTCATAAATCTCCCCGAGGTGAAGCTGCCCGGATGAAGGATCTCGCCTGGGGGGGGGGGACCCTTCTGTACAGGGGAAGGAGGAGCGACTGCCGGATGGAATGAGGAGGGGGGGCTGCGCTGCTCTGCTGGGAGGGTCTCCAGCTGTGACAGGCGCCTGGGGCTGCTCGCAGGGAAGAAAGAGGAGCCGTAGCTGGATCTGGCCCAAACGGGGCCTTCCCTCCGAGCAGACAAAGGGCGATGCTCAGACTGGCAGGTTTAATGAACTGTTGGAATCTGATTAGAGGCTAATGTCCCTTTCCGTGCTTTTGCACCGATATACAGCTGATACTTTTAACCATCTCTCCCCCACCTGGAACTCGTTATTCAACAGAAGGAGAAGCCGTGTGGGCAAATGGGGACTCCCCACCCCACCCCACCCCACCCCCAGCCCCCAAGAACCATAAATCAGCAGATCCCAAGCAGGTCATGCATCATTTAGCCCATTGACGCCTTCTTGCTATTTGGGTCAATTCTGCCACTGCCCCTCTCCCTTTTTTTTTCCTGAGCGTCCCAAAGCTGATTTCCCCAGGAGAGGACTCCCTGTTTCACTCTTGAGAACAAAAGAGCAGAAGGCAGGGAAGAAAGCTACGGCTTGTAGACGGAAACGTATTCAAGTTTTATCGCGGGGTTCACTTACAGAATTGAAGGGACCGCGAGAGGGATCTTGGAGTCCTGGTGGACAATCACTTAAATATGAGCCAGCCGTGTGCTGTGGCAGAGCTCTTGGGCCGCCACAGGTGCCCCCGACATGCATGACATTGAGCTGCTCACACCCACTATGGCCAAGCCCACCCCAGCCTCCCAAGTTCAAACACAACCCTGATGCGACCCTCAATGAAATCTAGTTTGACATCCCTGCCCCCTAGCACGTCCATACCAGAGGTGAGTTTCAGCAGGTTCTGACCAGTTCTGGAGAACCGATAGTGGAAATTCTGAGTAGTTCGGAGAACCGGTAAATACCACCTCTGGCTGGCCCCGCCCCCATCTATTCTCTGCCTCCTGAGTCTCAGCTGATTGGGAGGAAATGGGGATTTTTCAATAACCTTCCCCTGGAGAGGGGTTGGAATGGAGATTTTGCAATATCCTTTCCCTGAAGTGGGGAGGGAATGAAGATTTTACAGTATCCTTCCCCTGACATGTCCACCAAGACACGCCCACCAAGCCATGCCACTCCCATACAGTTCTAGGCTGCGTTAACAGAGGGATAGAAAGAATCAAGGTCGCAAAAAGTGATATTACCACTTGATAAGGCCTTTATAAGACCAGACTTGGTCTCGTCTTTTGTATTGTATGTATTTTAATTTTGGCTGTCCACCGCCCTGAGTCCCTTTTGGGAGAAGGGCGGTATACAAATTCAATAAATAAATAAATAAATAAATAAATACATACATACATACATACATACATACATACATACATACATACATACATTTCCAATATAAAAAAGATGTTGAGACTCTGGAAATGCAGAGAAGAGCGACAAAGAGGATGGGTGGTGGTGGTGGCTGGAGGCTAAAACATACGAAGAACGGTTGCAGGAATTGGGTATGTTCAGTCCAGTGAAAAGAAGAAGTTGGGGGTGACATGATAGCGGTGTTCCACTATTTGAGAGGCTCCTACAAAGAGAAAGGGGTCATCTTATTTTCCAAAGCATCTGAAGACAAGACAAGAAGCAACGGATGGAATCTAATCAAGGAAAGAAGCAACCTAGAACTAAGGAGGAATTTTCTGACAGTAAGGACAATTAATCAGGGGAACTGCTTGCCTTCAGAAGTCATGGGTGCTCCGACAATGGAGGCTTTTAAGAATGGACTGGACAACCATTTATCTAAAATGATATAGAGTCTCATGCTTAAGCAGGGGGTTGGACTAGAAGACCTCCAAGCTCCCTTCAACTCTTGTTATTCTGTATTGGACTGTGCAATGAATCCAATGGGATGTTCAGAAAGATACTTTACTTCTCACCAACCGTGAAAGCAACCATATCTTTCAGAAGGACTAGATGGTTGCTTCAAAGGCTGTCCTTGGCTATCTCCACCCACGTCTCAACCTGCAGCTCGTCCCACCAAAATGCTGTCTCTTGGGGTACTTGCAATCAAGGAAAACCTTCAAATCAGGCAGGTGTACCTTCCGAAGGTAGCCGAGTTCATGATTCAAAAAAAAAAGGCGGGGGGAATTCATGTGTGTCTTTCTGAAGCACCCTGCTGCTTTCAAATGTTCACCTCATCGTATGAAATGGAGGCACCGGCACCATATATCCATTAGAGATTAGAGTTCCACTTGGATATATGGAGTCATGGGCCAAACATTCAATGGCCAGATGTCATCTCCATTTTCCTCCTCCCCTCCCCCCAGGATTTGCTGTGTCCATCAGCCAATCCAGACCGATTTAGCAAACCTGTGGGTAGCAAGTTTTTTGGAAGGGAGAAAAATCTGCTTAATGCTTCTCAGGCTAGTCCCAATGCAACCTCTTAGCCCACCACGCCTACTCTCAACCACTAAGAACACGGGTCTCAAACTCACGGCGACACATTGCTGTCACGTGATGTTTCGTGATGTTTTTTCCCTTCGCGGAGCTGGAGTGGGCATGTAGTGGCTCCGTTACCTGAGCCTGTGTCATCGGCAGGAGAGGACTCCGAGAGTGAAGGAAAGGAGTTGGCAAGGCCTCCCTCTCCAGGACTCTCCTCTTTGGCAATGCCTTCGGTGTCCGCTGAAGGGCAAGAGATAGGGCTGGGGCCAAGCACGTCCACGCAGCCACAGGTGGACAGTGATGAGAGTAATGAGTCTTGGCTGTATCCACACCAGCGTCGCAGAGATAAGCGCGCGCAACAGAAGAAAAGGCGTGCCCGAGATTAGGCTGAGTCACTGGACCACACCCCACAAGGTATAAAAGGGAGCGTGGTGGCCAGTCAAGCCTTGTGACGAACAAAGCTGAAAGCTTCCACGCCATTCTGCATTGCTGGACTTT